AATCCCGATAGCCATGAAGTTTGGTTACAGATGATTTAAGGATGAGGTTATTCCGTTGACGGGCAACCTGTGGGGAAGACCCCTCCCTCCTAAGACAGGGGTTACGAGGTCCCCCAAAGACGGGCAGGGGAGGGTGACCCTACTTGACCTAAGCCAGGAGTGCCTCATTAGAAAATAAAAAAGGGGTAATTGTGGGGACACCAGACCTTGTTCAAAGACCCACTTCCCCATCAGCCTGGGAGTAGGCAGCTGTAAGACAATGTTTACTAAAAACATGTTTACTAAAAACAATACAATGCCCAGGGTAATAAGTTCCTGAAAAGGGCTGGCCCACGGAAACTGCCCTGACCTCGACCTTGTCCGAAGACTAACCGCCTCTTCTGACACACCCAGATCAGTTTTTGGTGTCAGAGCAGAACCAGCCAGGGGAGAGGAGAGAGCAGAAGCTTTACTGGAGGGAGGCCTTTCTTGGGAAGTTTTCTTGAGCCTTTTTGGGGCCTGCTTAAAGTTTTCTTTACACCGTTGAATGAGTCTCTGTGTTGTCAATCCCTGACACCCTCCGCACATTCTCAGGACACAGGCTGCGCAGCTGATGTGGCAGCAAACCTTCTCTGGTCTGCAGAGGCCTGAGCCTCTGGGGGAGGGATAAGAAAAATTAGTTTTCAAAATCAGGGATACACTTTTCAACTTTGTTTCATCATCACAACTGCCCTGGGAAACAAATACTCAGATCCTCTATTTTCAATGGAAGTAAAGGGGGGGGGGAGGTCAGAACAAGTGCCTTTTCCAAGGTCCAGAGCTTACAACATCAGGATTTAACCCCAGACTCCATCCATCACCCATGCATCAAATCTTTCCAAGACATCACCTGTGCCCAGCCCTTGGTGTAAAGTGCTCATCAGATGCGGGTGTACTCTCATAAACATATAGATAGGGAGGATGGAAAAAGGAAAAGTGGAAGTGGAAAGATGTTATCTTGGATTTATACCATGTGAATGGATACCATGAAGGTGGTGCCTTCTGGAGAACAGCCAAGGAGGGAACCTGTTTGGTTGCAGGTGGCCACAGAAGGCCAAGCTGGAGAGGTACAATTTAAGATAGCCTTGACAGAGCCATTGAAACGGCTCAGCAATAAAGCAAGTTGTCCTGTAATCTCCACATGCACACTGTGGGATAAGTGTTCACGAGTATACACACACACACACACACACACACACACACACACACACACACTGCATAAAATGTAATAAAATAGCCTTGAAGATAAGAAAACAATCAGGGGAAGGAATGTATTGAGCAGAGGGATTTAAGACCACCCTTCCCAGAGATGCCCAATGATCTCATCAAGGGTAAGACACCTAAGCAGTGAGGCTTCAACAAATGGTGAAGAGAAAACTAGAGAATGGCACTCATGTCATTGCTCAGAGTCAGGGGCCTTCTGGTCTTAATGGTAGCCCTAGACAAATGCTACTCAGGAGCTAGATCAAAAACAAGGACAGCCAGGGGACCAGACAGGTAGCCACTGTCTAAATTCTTCCCAAATTCTTCATGCAATGCATTAAGAGAAAACACTGAGAGTGGGTTTGGAGACCAGGAAGGGACTGACCTCTAGTTAGCCTGTTTTCTGAAGCCCCCCAAAAAGACCACTACTGCTATTTACATTTTCGTGTAAGCCAAACTAGCTTCAACCATCGGGGCTGTGTAAACTTGTGTTTAATGTCAGTTTTATATTAATATTTACTTTAACAAGATTGATCGTTTACATAACAATGCATATGTAAAGTCTGGGCTACATTTGGGTTTACACACATTTGCATAGTGTTTACAGATTGATTGATTAACCCGACTGTGCATAAGTCCAAGTAAACTACTAGCTGTTTGTTTATTTTTTTCCCACTGGGCTTTGTAGCCTATATCTTAATAAATGGCTAAACTGTGCCTAAGTCCTCTATTATAACCTTCACAGAAGATTTAATAAGTTTGAAAAGTAATTTTCCCTTAAAAAAAGAATGAGATGAAATCAGGGGGGTTATTTTTTCCCCTTAATCTTCAGCATTAAATAGTTCAAAAGGAGGACACCAGCTTAAACCGGATCTAACAGAGATAAAACCAGGCCAGAGGGAACTCTAGAGTCAAGACTCTGACCTTGGCCCTTGCTGAGGGTTTCCCAGGGAAGCTTGGCTTTGACAGTGGCCTTGACAAGAACTCTGCATTATTGCAGGAAGTGATGCCAGAGGGTGCTGCTTCCTTCCTGTGACACCCTGAGCACCTCCTCCATGTTGAAGGATAATCTGGAAACAGTTTAAGCCCGTGGCAGCGAGGAAGAGGGGAGAGGTGGAAGAAGACTGTGAAGTGATAAAGACAGAATCATAGGTGCCCTGTGCTCTGTGCACCTATGAGAGTTTGGTCAATCTCTTGGCGTGTGACCCATGACCCACATGGACATATGCAGGGCACTGATCTCTGTTCTCCATTCCATTTCCCTTCCACCTACCAAGGAGTGCCAATCAAATATGCCCAACCTTCTGCAGAGAGAGTGGGGATAAACAACTTACCAAATAATCAGCTCAGAGCTGGCTGTTGCTGATTGTGTTTAGGCTCAAATGCAGACAGAAGTGTAAAGTTCCTGCCTGGAGCTCTGGTCCTGGGGGTTTTGGGGCAGACTAACCAGACACAGGGCATCCTGTGTGATTGGCTCTGTGTGTGTATTTATCCCCAAATGGGAAGTAGGACAAAATGGTGAAGGCTGCCAGGGACTATTAAGTCCTGGATATTTGGGGCTAATTGTTATCAAAGTTCTTAGCTTCTTGGATCCATTCCGTGGGTAGCAGCTGGACTTCTAGCAAATCTAACATAGGGCTGTTTGGTTCTCTAGCTCCACTGTTGAAGTTGAAGGGTTGGTTTACTAGCCAGGTAGCTGCAGGCTGGGGGGTCAGAGTTCTGTTACCTCTAATTCAACCTTTGCCTATGTGTGTGTTCAATTTGTTTTCTGTGGGCATGTGTTTTAAATTAACTAGCCATTATTTTGCTAAAAACATCTTGGCATTCTTAGCTTTTTGCTGAGCTCAGTTTTCATTAGTTAAGAGTGTGTCTGGAATGCTGGATATAAAGTTTGTTGCCCTTCAGGCTGTGTGTGTGTTCCGTAGCATGCAGCACCGGCATTTATCTCTGTTCTCAAGGGTTACATCAAATTGTCTCCAGTTTCTAGGACTCCTGACAAGATTATGGGATGCATTCCCATGTTTGCTTAATTAAAGGATGTCTCAGCAGAGCTCTCTGTTCAGACAGGAGTGTTGAGTCATAAGTATACTACTGTATGGTACCTCTGGCTGGTCCTTATGGTGGCAATCAGCAGCGTACAAGGCCCTCATTTCCCCACATCCTTGCCAATACTTCATAGCACTTCACTCTCTTGGTCGTTCCTCATTTATCTGCAGAAGCTCTGTGGTCTGTTGGTTTTGAAATTCTGCAGGTGTTTTTTTTTCCTAGCCGGACACCTTCTTCCAGTTCTGTTTAACAAAACTCTTAATTTTTTTTAAAGATCAAAACAATTTGTTTGTGTGTGTGTGAGTGTTCATACATGCCAGTACCCACAGAGACCAGAAGGGGGCCCTGGATTTCCAGACCTGAAGTCACAGACAGTTGTGAGTCACCCAGTATGGGTGATGAGAACCAAAACCAGGTCCTCTGCAAGAGTAGCAAGAGCCCTTAATCACTGATCCATCTCTCCAGACCTTATTCTTAATTTGAAGATTTATTTATTTGTTTTATGTGTATGAGAGTTTTGCATATATATATACATATATATACATATATATGTATATGTATATATATAGTGTTCATGCAGGGCCTAAAGAGACCAGAAAAGGATTTTGTATCCTCTAGGACTGATAATTAAAGACACTTGTGAGTTGCCTTATGAGCACCGGGAATGGGACCCAGGTCCTCTAGAAGAACAGCGAGTGCTTTTAACCACTTCACCATCTCTCTAGCCCTGACCCTTGTAAATTTTAATAAAGCTAATTTCATCAACTCTTTGAGTATTTGGGTGCCACTATTTTAAAACATCCCCCCTTAGCCTGAAGAAGGCGAGAATACTCCTCTCTGCTTCTATCAGCTTTTGTAGAAAGTTGTTTTGTTTTTTTAACTAGGCGGCATTGACCTAAAGTCCAGGGGTCAGTTAACTTGGGGTAAAGAATAATTACACTTCAGTTTTAACTAACTTTCAGTAGACATTATTTCTTTTTAGTATAAATGTGGGCACCAAATCAGTAGTATTAACATACACTGAATTTGTCACCAAAATAAGTTAAGTATATTTTTACTTTAAATCTACAGTTGGTGGAGATACCTTACATTTCTGGTAAGGCTCTTCACGATTTTTAAATTACTGTAGTTTTTCAAATTTCATACCAGGTCTTATCAGTTCATGCTTTAGTTTAAAAGGCACATATTTTACTCTGCATTACTCTACATAATTGGTTGCCTTGGTAATCATATTCCTTTTACACATTTAAGAACATTATTCTGAGGAGGGATGTGTAGGTGTCTTCAGAGTGTCAAAACGATGCATGTAAGAGCAGTGCTCTAGGACTGTGCCCGCTCAGTTGGGTCTGTATCTGTGTTCCCCTTTGTGTATGGCTTGAAACAGATCCCTGCCTCATGCTGTAGTCCAACACCATGAACAGAATAATCTATTTCTTCCTAGGTGGGTTTGATAGTCATTATTACAGCATAGGTCCATACATGCTATATCTTCCTCCAAATCTGTTTATACCATTAACATTCAATCCAAGTTAAAAGTTTAAAATATGAGAGCAGGAGTCAGAAGGAATGTTGTCACATCACACTCGTGAAGTTTGCAGTTGAGGTTTTAGGTTAATTTTCTTTTTTATTATTACATGTTAATTCACCCTAGAGTTTATTCTAATATGTAAGACTTTTCAACAATGGATGAAAAGACAGTCTAGGACTGTTGGTTTGGGATGAGCTATTTTGCATTCTGCATTCTTTACCTGGAATTGACAAAGTTTTCTTAAAAAATTTTTTTGAGACAAGGTTTCTCTGTGTAGCCCTGGCTGTCCCAGAACTGGCTTTGTAGACCAGGGTGACCTCAGACTCAGAGATCTGCCTGCCTCTGCCTCCCAGGTGCTGAGATTTAATAAAGGGCCAGTTAGCAAACCAAGGCCTCACAAACCTAAACTGTTCAACTGTGTCCTTGAAGGAAAGCAGTCACAGATGATGTAAGAGCAAGAGAACTCAGTTATATCCCTGTAAACTTTACTTCCAACAGCAGGCTGGCTAGGACTGACTCAAAGCCAGTCAGCCAACCTCTGTTCTGTATCATTTGGGGTCTTCCTCACCTTACAAAAGGTTAAATATTGTGAGACTCAATAATATTTTAATCTTCAGTGTAAAATATTATAGTCTAAATGGCCAGTGGTAAGAATATCATTAGGAAAGCCATGGCAAATCCAACTACAACAATATGGCACAGGCACTTAAGATGTTTCTGGAAATTATCGATAATATTCATGTGCTTTTGATGTAATTATTGGTTAAAATTAGAATAAAATTAATACACATAAGATATAAAACAGAAATGTAAATAGACAGAGATGTTGGGCAGGGTGGTATACACCTGTAATCTCATCAGTCAGGGTGATAAGGCAGTAGAATTGTTACTTGGAGGCCAGCCTGGGCTACATAGTGAAATCCTGTCTAAAAACCTGAAAAGAAATAAAGGGTGAGCCCAAGAGGGATGGCGCAGCAACACATTGGAGCACATGCAGTTATTTTCCTCTGAGTACTTTTCTATGTTCTTTATAATTTCTCCAGTGGGGCTGTATTATTTTTGTAAGAAATGGACCCGAGGTCTCAGATGTGGCCACACAGCCCACAGTATTTATGCAAGGCAAAAGTTTTACTTCTGCTGAAGACTGCAAAGCTATGCTAAATCGAGCAGGTAAGCACACCCTCCGGGGGCTCCTGCTGGGCTTTTAGTCCTAAAGCAAGGAGGTTCCCTGCCTTACTGCATGGTCAGAGCTCAACCTCACACTCTCCCAGGACTGCATAATACAGAGGTACAGTGCCCAGAGAGAAATGAACCGAGAATTTATTTTGATTTCAGGAAGTGCTGACCCTGGAAGAATTTGAATTTTTGCCAAATAGCTTCTTTACAATTTTTTTTTTTAAAGAATGGAGTTTTGTGATATTTAACCCTTTGGTAGGAAACAAAAAAAGGTACAGATGTTTACATTTCCCACAGTTTTAACTGGAAAGCAAAATCTAAAACTGTTTAAAGAATCACGTTTTTGAAACAGTCTGCAGTTGTCCCCTTAACCTCCGGAAGCATCGGGCAGATAGGACAGCAGAGGCTCACTTAGTCACTTCCTCAGAACTCGTGATAACTGGGGATAAAGCAGAACCACTTGTGACTTTAATCTCTGAATGGAAGATAGCAAGTAATCATTAATGGATAAATATTCTATAAACTGATTTATGAACCATTTGGGCTCTTGACAGGACAGTGCACAGAATGTGAGAATCCACCAGGGGCTCTCTGATAAACTTTCTAATAGCTAAGTGTATACCGCCATCATCAACATCCCCATTTTATAAATCTGAAAATAGAGGCCCATAGCTCCTTAGAACATTGTCCAAGCTCCAGTCATCCAGAAATAATGGAGATAGGTTGCAAACCTGAGACACTTCTCTTACCTCAAAATTACTGCTAGGATCTTGTGTTTCCATTTGCTGATGCTCTAGCATTCATGAGGACCTGGGTTCAAGGCCTAGGACTGAATAAAGGGAAAAAAAAAGAATGGAACAAATGGTTGCACTCATTCACTAAAGCAGTTCTCAGCATGTTCCCTATAGGCAGACTTGGTGTTGCTCTGCTCCTACCCATTTCCGAACAGACTGCTTCCTTTAAGACAATCTCTCTTGCAGATATTTCACTCGCTTAAATAAGAACTCCTCTCTTCTTCCTCTTAGGGATTCCCCTCTTTGCCTAACTCTTATCTGAATCACTGAGCTTGTATCTTCCTACAAAGCAGTGTGATGGTTGCCTGGGAAGCTTTGACCTTGGAAGGCCTCCTGTAGAAGGTACCTTCTGTCCCTAAGGACTATGGATGGTCCTGCTGTCTTACCCTGGAGCATCACTGATTACTTTTTAGATCTGTCCAACACACCTGCTTATCCCTCACCTTTTGTCATTTGCCCTCCTAGAATCTTCCAATGGTTGTACACTCATGATTCAGACTTCATACTTTGATATCACTCCCACCAATGTCCATATCTAGCATGGTTCTGGCTAGTTTTATGTTAGCTTGACACAAGCCAAAGTCATCCTAATGAAGGGAGCCTCAGTTGAGAAAATGCCTCCATAAGGTCTGACTGTAAAGTATTTGTAATTAGTGATCAACGGGAGAGGGCCCAGCCCATTGTGAGTAGTGACAACCCTAGGCTGGTGGTCCTGGGTTTTATAAGAGAGCAGGCTGAGAAAGCCATGGGGAACAAGCCAGTAAGCAGCACTCCTCTATGGCCTCTGTATCAGATCCTGCCTCCAGGTTCCTGACCTGTTTGAGCTCCTGTCCTGGCCTCCTTCAATGATAAACTACAATGTGGAAGTATAAGAGAAATAAACCTCTTCTTCCCAACTTGGTTTTTGTTATGGTGTTTCATCAGAGCAATAGAAACCCCTATGAACACCTTTTATCCCAGCACTCAGGAGGCAGTGACAAGTGGATTTCTGTGGGTTTGAGGCCAGACTAGGCTACAAAGTGAGTTGTAGGACAGCCAGGGTACACCGAGAAAGCCTGTGTTGAAAAACAAACAAACAAAAATGAAAGAAAAAAGAAAAGGGAAACCCTAACTAAGACAAGTTAGTACCAGAATAGTGGGATTGTTTGGGGTAGGATTGTGGAAGGACTTTGGAACTTTAGCCTAGAAAAGCCATTGGGTGTAGAGAGCTCAGTGGGCTCTTCGATGGGAACTTGGAAGGTAAGGATGTTGAGAACAGTGCAGATGATAGGGGCCTGGCTTATGAAGTTTCAGAAGGAAGTAAAGACTCTGTTGGACCATTGGAGTGAAGAATCTGTGGTGTCCGGTCAGCTGGAGCTGAAGAATCGGCTGTGACTAACAACAGACCAGAACCACTAAAGTAAAAACCGTTACTTTTCTGGGACAACTGATGCTGGTTACCTGGAGCTGAGACGGCTGTGATGATCAAGAAGAGACCATCATTAAGGTGACATCTTCTGGGAAGTGTTTCTTGAAAGCACACAAAACTGTGTTCCGGAGGCAGCCAAGGTTGTGCCTCAGCTGGCAGTTGAACTTGGTAGTGTAGGAGTCGCCCAGGTGGTGCTGGTTTTGAGGGCATAAAGGGGTCATGGAGAGCATGCAATAGAAAACCCTAAGACAAACACCTACTCACATACTGTCCCACTCCTGTGATTTTCTTCCTAATGCTTCATACGATAGCCACACTGTTCATTTCTATTGCCTCTCAAGAGTATCAGTTTTCTGTGACCAGAACTCCTAATCACATTTATCACTACAGTTCCTATTCCTGGTTCCAACAAAATCCTCACAGAAGAGTTGTTGAATAAATTACCCTCATTATCTTCCCAGTAACTCATGAATCAGGTGCTGGTCTACAGGTCCAGGCCACTCAGACTCTGGGAAGCTATAGGATTTGTCCAAGTCCCACAACTAAAACTTGGAGAGTAGGAACAGGGTTTGTTGTCTGCATTACTTAATGACCTCCTAATGAATTTATTGATGAGGGAAGGATTCTCTTCCTAGGACATAGGAGCAGTGGGATACCTAACTCCTGATAAGGGACAGAAGAAAAGGGTGGCTTATTAAGTCACAAGTACTGAAAGGGAGGACAGACTCACTGCCTGTGATAGTTGACATTCCCTGCCAGCTTCACTGAGTTTGGAATCATCTAGGAGACACAGTTCTCTGTGTGTCTCTAAGGAAATTCCAGAGAAGCTTATCTAAGGACACTCCTTGGATGTGGGTAAAACCATCCCATGAGCAAGGGTCTCAGACTGAACAAGTGCAAAAAAAATTGAAGAGAACCCAGGACTGTCCTTCATCGGCTTCTTCACAGCAGACACAATGTGGTCAGTCTTCTTGTGTTCTTACCAACATGCCTCCCCGCCCCATGATGAGCTGGACCACCAAAGTTTCCCTTAAGCCTCTTTCGTTAGGTATCTCGTCACAGCAGCAGGAACTAATACACTGATGTGCCAGTTTCATAAGGACTGCACTCCAAAACAGTGAGTTATGGGATTTGTGGTGATGCCCTCATTCTCATAAGATGATATGGTCAGCTCGTTTGGATAATTCTGCAGGTGAACAAGAAAGGGAAACACACAAGTCAGGGACAAGCCAGAGTTCTACTTGGTCCATTTCATGAGAAAGTTACTAAAGGGAACTTATCTGTAGGAAGAGGGTGGTAAGGGGAACCTGTGGCTAGGTCATTTGAGGCCCTTTCTACTTCATCAGAAACTACAAGACACACTGTGTTGGGCCTTAATTTTAGGCCTCACATCACTGGTTAAACACTATTAAATGGAGGACATTGAAACCAGTAGCCCGAGACTCAGTAGACAAGTTGACTGAGGTGACCTGAAATGAAAAAGGTTAGCCAGCAGCCTCAGAACGAAGAGCCTGGCTCTTTCCAAACTGCTTGGCAATCCTCAGGAGAGACCTTCTCATTCCAAGGTATTGCAAGGCTGACAGGGCCAGCTTGTCTAGGAAGAGCCTCGAGGGCAGTACTTTAGGGCATTCAAGCTTGTGAGGAAAATGAATGTTGGCAGCCTGGTGTTCTGGAACCACGTCAGCACCTCCCTACAAAGCCAGTGTGTTCTGCTAGTGTTGATTTTAAATGTCCATAAAAATCAAGCTGTGATGGAGAGAATACAGTATCTTCTTGGAAGGAGGCCCTGTTTGGGGCAAAGAGCATTGAGACAATATTCCAACTCGAGATAACTGACCCAGGAGTCCTCCAAGATCATGTGGTCTTGAATAACAACTTGGCTGAAGAGTTCATTGAAAACATCCCATCTTTAATTCCAGCACTCAGGAAACCAAGCCAAGAGAATTGATGAAGCTACAGAGTGATACTCTTTCTCAAAAACAACAACAAAATCCCAGCATGCTTGGCCTCAAACATTTAAGTTGCCTTACTTGTGTCTTTGTTTAGATGTGTGGTTATATTGAACATGAAGGCATTCCATTTTTCTTGGTACATGTGTATTGTCAATGGTATTTCTTAGTCTCCATGTTCTTGATGTTGAATACTTTCTGTTCTCTTACCTGTCCCCAAAGAAGAGAGGAAGTAATCCCAGAGCTGCCTGTCTAGGAAGGTGTGTAGGTCAACTCCCCATGCCCCCGTCTCTCAGAAAGCATCTCCTGCAATCCTTCCCCTCCCTAAGGTGTTTGTGTGTCACTGCCATTTGCAGGAGCTCCTTTTACTGCCAGCCCGCCTTCCTTCACACTCACCTTGTGGAGCATGCCCACGCGGCTTCATCACAATTGCTTCATGGCCTTGGTCTCATCCTGTTTGGTCTTGTCCTTGCCCCTTCTCCTCTCTACTCCTCATTCACACTGCCTTCCTGAGTGTGGGAACACCAGACCTTGAGCAGAGACCCACTTCCCCTTCTGCCTGGGAGTAGGCAGCTGTAAGACAATGTTTAGTAAAAACATGTTTACTAAAAACGATACAATAAGTTCCTGGCCACTTCCCCTTCTGCCTGGGAGTAGGCAGCTGTAAGACAATGTTTAGTAAAAACATGTTTACTAAAAATGATACAATAAGTTCCTGGGAAAGGCCTTCCCACGGAAACCGCCCTGACCTCGACCTTGTCCAGAGACTAACCGCACCTTCAGAAACCCACACACATCCACCTCTGGTGTCAGAGCAGAACCAGCCAGGGGAGAGGAGAGAGCAGAAGCTTCTCTGGTGGGAGCCTTTCTTAGGAAGTTTTTCTTGAACCTTTTTGGAGTCTGTTTAAAGTTTTCTTTACATCATTGAACGAGTCTCTGTGTTGTCAATCCCCGACACCCTCCGCACGTTCTCGGACACAGGCCGCGCGGCAGTCGCGACACCTGAGCTGACTCATCACATAGATCCTTACTCTTCCTCTCCTGTCCTCCTCCATGCCTGAGGGCTCCCCGAGCCTGAGCAGATGGCAGAACAGACTGCAGCACCAACTGAGAGGACCACATGTGTCCATTTCATTTCCTAGTTGTTTTAAAATCTTACCCATCCATCTCATCCCCTTCACCTTGGTTCAGACAAGCACCGATGTCCTGTGAACAGCCTTTGTGACCGACCCTACCCCGTCTCTTCTGCACAGTCCAGTCAGGGAATAATGAGTATCCAGGCCTTGAGTTCTGTGACGGTTAATTTTGATGGTCACCTTGACTGAACTGAGAAGAGCCTAAGAGACTGGAAAAGCACACATCTGGATGTATCTATGAGGCATTTCCTGGGTGGATTAACTAAGGAAAGAAGAATATGGGCACAGCATCCTATAGGCTGGTCTTCTGTGTAAAATAGAAGGGGAGGGTGAAAGAGCTGGCTGGGCAGGCATTTGTTTTCTCCGGTCACCATGGTGTGAGATGGTCCATTTGAGTCTGTCCTCCTCCATGGTGTGCCTTCTGAAACAGTGAGATAAAGCAAGTCTTTCCTCTCCTTAAGCTGTTTGTGGCAGGTCCCTGGTCATGATGAAGTCCACACAGTTTCTTTTCTGGTTTCTCCACTAAAGAGGATCCTGCTCTGCTTCCCTGGAACTGGACCTCTGCCCGTAGGACCATAAGTTGATAGATCAAGTGGCTGCTCCCACCCAAACCTTCCTCCCGCCTGACCCTCTCCCCTATACAATTCTAGAGCAGGATCTAGACACACAGGATCCTGTGACCCTGTGTCTTCTAGCCCTGTGTGGGTCTGTTCCCCTGAAGATGGAGCTGTGGCCAGGCCTGTGGTGTTGTCAATGGATGGCCTCTTACCTAGGAATAGGATGGGAACAAAACTGGCTGGAGACTGGGGAAGTCTATACAGTCAGAAAGCAGTGAGATTAATGCTGTCCTTGCCTTAATTTCTTCATTTTGTCCAGTCTCAGACCCTAGCCCATGACACTGTACAGTTCACATTCAACATAGATATTCCAAATCAATCTTCTCTGGAAACATCAATACAGATACACCTAGAGGTGTGTCTCCTAGGTGACTTTAAATCAAACCAAGTTGACAATAAAGATTGCTCAATACTGGAAGGAAGTAACTAAAGAAGACTAACATGGACCCTGCAGATAGAGGGCAAGCCTGAGATCACATCCTATCTCACCCCCTTTACATTGCCCTCAAGAGGATTTATCATCTTATGAGCCTGTACAATGGAGCCCAGGAAGATCCCTCTCTGAACTTTGGCCCCAGTGTGTCTCCTTGGTTCCCTTCATATTTGAATTCTGGACCTACTAAATAATACATCCTTTTAGCAGGTAACACACCATGATTTCTTGCTGTTTCTTTGCTCTTTTTGATCCCCTGTTCCCAGGTTGCCCAATAGACACTGTGCTACTTAAAGGAGGCATCATAACTTGTCTCTGAGTCTCCTTGCTTGTAGGACTGGACTTGACACAGTGTAGAAACTTGGGAGAAAGGGGCAGGGGCAGGCAAGCTGTGTTTTTGCTGGTGGGATTGGCAGCACCTCTAAGACCAACCTTGTCTCCACTGTCCTGCTCTTTAAAAAAAGCTTCAGACAGTTCTCTGTCCCAGCTGAAAAGGAGGTGTGCAGCCTACGTAGCCAGGAATGCCAGCACGGAAATAAGAACAAGCCCAGGTTGCAGGTTTCTACAGAGTCAGAAGCTGTGGATAAGGATGCAAATGTGGGCTTTAGATTGATTTTCTTTCTTTCTTTCTTTCTTTCTTTCTTTCTTTCTTTTTTTAACGAGACAGGGTTTCTCTGTGTTGTTTTGGAGGCTGTCGGTCCAGCCTGGCCTCGAACTCACAGAGATCCGCCTGCCTCTGCCTCCCGAGTGCTGGGATTAAAGGTGTGCGCCACCACCACCAGGCTAGATTGATTTTCAAAAACACAAAAGAGCATCTTCAGAGTTCCCTGTCTATGGGATCCTACCATGTCTTTTTCTATTAGGAGAAAACATGATCCTGGTGTGAACTCAGGCTAATACATCAATTAGCATCATTGGCATCCTGGCTCCATTTCTGATAACCAAGACCAAAGATCAGCAAATCTCTGCCCAAGGACAGAAGCCAACAGTTTAGCCTTCAAAAGCATCAACCACTCAATGTGAGTTTTACGGTACTAGAGAGGTCATAGGCAACTTGGAAGTCAGGATTGTGGGCAAATCTTTATGGATAGGCCAGGTGTGGTTGTCCACATCTTTAAACTCTGTACTCAGGAGAAAAAAAAGAATGTGGATCTCTGTGAATTCAAGGTCAGCCTGGTCTACATAGCAAGTCTGAATCAAGCCAGGGCTATATAGTGAGACTCTGTCTCAGAAAAAAAAAATAGGTAAAACAAACAGTAGGCTGAATTGGTCCATAAGCTAGTTCACCATTTCTGAGCATCTGATCTGTCATCTCCTTTAAAGGTAAGATCTGTAGTGTGTACTTCAATAGCAAACAGTAAAGTGCTACACAAAGTAGTCTTGAAAAATAAAATGAACCAAAGCACTGGATGTTGGCATTTTGGGCAGTTGGGAGTCACAGAATATTGAGTGTTACACAGCTCAGATGGAAAGGTATCCTGGAGCTCGGGAGCCAAGGACCACCACAGGTTGTAGTAAGTTTAGCAGCTTACAGCCTTGCCTTAGGGAAAGGCTTCCCCAGTGTATCTGCTCAGCTCCGACAGGACAGGGTCTTCCATCTGGGGATGTTTGCCCAGTGTAGCAGTTTTGCTTGGCAGGAGGTTTCTCAGGCGAGTTGCTACAGTTCAGCTCTGCTCCTGGAGAGCAGGGAGCAGAGAGCGGATAGCAGATACACTCCTATCTGCCAAGGGAAGGTTTCCCTGGCAAAAATGTTACAGCCCTGCTCGCTCTGCTCTGCCCAGCTCTGTCGCCGCTGCCGCAAAAGAAGGTCTTCACCCGAAGTTCAATGAAGGGTTTTATTGGGAGGGAAGAATCCAGGAGAGTGGCTGTCCTCTTCCACAGTGGCAGAGGACAGGCGGGTAGCGTGAACAGCCACAAGCTGAACAGACACAGGGTTTATATAGGGCTTCTAGGGTGTGGATTGGTCAGATTTTAGTGCTGAGCTCAGATTGGCTAGAGCTCTGCTGGAGAATTGGTTGACCTGAATAAGGTGGAGCTCAAGGACCTCAGACTGACAGCTGGGAAACCAGCATAGGACCAATCCAGAACCCCTGAACATAGGTGTCAGTTAGAAGGCCTGAGTAATTTATGAGACCTCTGGCAGTGGAACCAGTTTATATCCCTAGTGTATGAATGGACTCGGCAAGCCCATTCCACATAGAGGGATACTCTCTCAGCCTAGACACATGGGAGAAGGGCCTAGACCCTGCTCCAAATAATATGACAGACTTTGATGCTCCTCAATGGAAAGCCTCACCATCCCTGGGGAGCAGAAGGCGGATGGGATGGGGGGGGTCAGTGAGGGTCATGGCAGGATGGGAGGGAGAGGGAACTTGGACTGATATGTAAAATAAGATTGTTTTCAATTTAAATTTAAAAATTTAGAAAAAAATGAAAATAATTTTTAAAAAGGAATAGCCGGTCCCATTGGCACAGCACACTCACTAAACGCCACCCCCTTACAGTAGGCACATTGCATTCGCCATCTGTGTCAACTAATGTTCTCACGTGTGTAATGAAAGCAGCTCGAGGAAGGAGGGGTTCACTTAACTCTCAGTTGGTGCGTGGAGGCCATCACGGTTGAGACAGCAGGGGCTTGAGGCAGGGGGTCACACTGCGTCACAGTTAAGAAGCGGACAGAGCTGTGAAGCTTGGACTACCAGAGGGACCCCTGGCTGAGGATCATGATACAAACCTGGTACATGAGCTAGCTTGTTGGAGCCCATTCCTTAGGGTGGGATGCCATGCTCAGCTCAATGCTTGGGAGAGGGGCCTGGCCCTGCCCCAACCTATGGTGCCAGACTATGTTGACTCCTCGTGGGAGCCCTTACCTGTGAGGGGGACTGAACTGGTGGTGGGCTGAGGGAGGAGAGAAGGATGGGAGGAGGTGAGGGGAGTGGGAGGAGGGGTGGGAGGGGGAGCTGTGGTTGGAATGTAAAATGAGATAAAACAATTCTAAAAGGGGAAACAAAGAATGGAGAGAGATGCATGCTGCTGATTCACTCACTCTTTCCCTTTTTATCCAGCCCATGACACAGCACCACCCTCATTAGAGAGGGTCTTCCGGTCTCCGTTAATGCAGTCTTGAAATCCCTCCCACAGGACTGTCCCCTAGGTGATTCTAGATCTTGCCAAAGTAACATCAACATTGGCCATCACGCCATCTTACTCAGTCCTCACAAAGACCTCATGAAATGAGAAGCTGTTACTTACAGCACTGGAGAAATGGACTCAGTGGCTGTGAGTGCTTGCAGCTCCTGCAAAGAACCTAAGTTCAGTTCCCAGCTCCCAGGCAGGGTAGCTCACAACCGCCTATAACTCCAGCTCAAGAGAACCCAATGT